CCTCTGTGGGCCACCGCTGGGGCTGAATGTCTCTGCCGGCTGCCGCCGGGCCTGAATGTCCCTGTTGGCCGCTGCCACCGGGCCCGTTTACCTCAGCGGGCCGCCGCTGGGCCCGTCTACTTCTCTGGGCCGCCGCTGGGCCTGAATGTCTCTGCCGGCTGCCGCCTGCTTGTCTCTGCCGCCGGGCCTGTCTACCTCTGTGGACCGCCGCTGGGCCTGAATGTCTCTGCCGGCTGCCGCCGGGCCTGAATATCCCTGTCGGCTGCCGCCGCTGGGCACGTCTACCTCAGCGGGCTGTTGCTGGGCCCTTCTACCTCCGCGGGCCACCGCTGCAGGCCTACCTGCGTCTGCTTGTCTCTGCCGCCGGGCCTGTCTACCTCTATGGGCCGCCGCTGGGCCTGAATGTCTCTGCCGGCTGCCGCCGGGGCTGAATGTCCCTGTCGGCCGCTGCCGCCCGGCCCGTTTACCTCAGCGGGCCGCTGCTGGGCCCGTCTACCTCTGTGGACCGCCGCTGGGCCTGAATGTCTCTGCCAGCTGCCGCTGGGTCTGAATATCCCTGTCGGCTGCCGCCGCTGGGCCCGTCTACCTCAGCGGGCTGCTTCTGGGCCCGTCTACCTCCGCGGGCCGCCGCCGCAGGCCTACCTGCGTCTGCTTGTCTCTGCCGCCGGGCCTGTCTACCTCTATGGGCCGCTGCTGGGCCTGAATGTTTTTGCCGGCTGCCGCCAGGCCTGAATGTCCCTGTCGGCCGCTGCCGCCGGGCCCGTTTACCTCAATGGGCCGCCGCTGGGCCCGTCTACTTCTGTGGGCCGCCACTGGGCCTGAATGTCTCTGCCCAGAAGGTTTTCTTTTTAACATAGTAAAATTGCATATAACAAAACAGTTATCAAGTAAGAATTACAGTTACAATATCTAGTCTATTTGTATTTGACAAAATTAAAGAATATATTAAGTTATCTATCCTATCCTGGTGAGTTTAAAGTTTTATATTTAATTTAACTTTTTTATCATAACTAAGGAAAACTGTAATTATAATTATCTAGTCTTCAACTCCATCAAAGACCCAAAAAGGATATAATATTACCTGAATAAACAAGAAGTGCATTGCAAGCAACTTACAAAACTCTAGAAATGACAGAGACATCTGGCTGCCTGGACAATCACATCATGTTCTACTGTAAAACTGGGACCTCCATCTTCAGTCTATAGACCTAGAGTATCCAGCAAACTTTTCAGTGAAGCAGGAAATTTGAAGGATTGTCCTGCTTATTTTGGCAAAGTCCATAAGTTGCTTTCCCCTGCATCTTGCAGAATGTCTGGCAGTTTCTTTTGTGAAGCAGGCACCTGAAGGACCATCTTACCTTGTTTGGGCAAAGTTTTGCAGTCACTTTCCTGTGGGTCCTGCATGTCCAGTTTATACAGTATACTGTCAAGCAGTGCAGGCAAGAGTAGTTTCTTGTCCAAATGGCTAGCTTTGTCACATTAAAAACAAACTCCATAAGGAGTTTCTTTGATGTCCATCATCTTCTTTGAAGTAATTGGTACTGCCAGGAACAGATGTGTCTCACTGTCGAGAGAAGTAAAAGGTCTTAAACATTTTAAATGCCATATTCTGTAGGTCTTTGAAGTTTGAAGACTACTTATCTAATTCACATATATTTCTGTATACCTAGAAAACGTAACTAATATGGCTATATGTTTGACTATTAAAGATGATTAACTATTAATCTGTATTTTTCATTATCCATTACATTTTTAAATGAGCTACATAAGCATAATACCTTAAACAAGAGTAGAAATATATATACAGTATAATAAAATTGACTTATTCAATAAGCCAAAATTCATACCATTGTCAAAATATTTTGAGGTTAACACTTGTCTCTTGGATTAAAGTAGATTCAATAATTTACTGTTTTTTTTGATAACCACCCCCCCCCCTTAGATGAAAACAAACATTCATAAACAATATTCGGGGAGTTTGAGCATAGTTATTTAGCTGACTTCCTGTTGATTGAGGGCACTGGTAATCTTATGGGGATACCGAGAAATTTTGAGATAATGGCCAATTCCTGGGAAGACCATCTATAACCTTTGTTGATAGGTATCACCTGCCAAGGTTCAGGAAGTTTTGCATGATCAAACCTGGTCTGTCTTAACCTAGAACAAATCCACAGCCTCTTGTTTCCTGTGGAAACAAAAGCAAAACTGCTTCTCCAAAGCAATGAACTTTTTAAATTCCATTTTACAAATACATTTTTTTTACTTCTGCTTTAAAATTAAGGCATTCTTAAAATACTTAAGTTGGTATATTTCATCAGTCTTTCTCACAATCCCATGTCTCCCAGTGGCTGTCTCTTGCTCATCAGCCATCAAAAATTCCAAATCAACACAATAATATACAGGATTCAGACTTCCTGTGCATTTTCCATCTCTTCATGGCTTATTCTTTATTATTTTACTTCTTTCTTTAAATACTTTATTATATTATTTTTTAAATTATTTATTCCTTTCTATAACTGTCTATATCCTGTTTATTTATTTCTTAAGTCTATGCACATTGTACAACATACTGGATCCTGTTTAGAGGTTTCTGTCTGGACCTCTTTATACTGTGTATCTTTTACCCTTTTTATCAAAAGCCTTAAACCCTCCACACAGCATAAACTTGTACCACAACCCATGTGAGCCAGCAGGAATCTGCTATGTTGTAGCTCTACCATGCTGTGGCCAAGGGACACATTTCTATACAGCAGCCTGTATGAGAGATGTGAACTAGGAAGCAGATCTTGGCTCTGTTTTAGAACCTTTTAAAAAGCTTTCTCAGGTTTTATTTGAATTCAGTTGCCAAATGTTGGTTACCATATGTAACCAGAGGCTTTTTTACCCTGCCCTGTCCTGTAGCCACTATTAAAACAATCACTCAGAGGCTTTTATTAATCATAAATGTTTGGCTGATGGTTCAGGCTTATTACTAGCTAGCTCTTATACTTAAATTAACCCATTTCTATTAATCTATGTATTAATATATCTATTAATCACCAATGGCCCATGGCTTACTAGTTCTTTCACATCTTGCTTCTTGGGTGGCTTGCAGCATGTTCTCTGACTCCCTGTTTTTCCATCTCCATCTTCAGTTTGAGTGTACTTATTCTGACTTGCCATTGGCCAAACACCTTTGTTTATCAATCTATGATAGCAACACATATTCACAGCATACAGAAAGACATACCACAGCAGTACACTCTCAGCAGTTAAGGCAAGGGCACTTTCTTGGGCAGTGGCTAAGTTTTGCTACAACAAAAGAAAACTCTATATGGAGTTTCTTCAATGACCATCATCTCTCTGAAGTAGATTGGTACCACCAGGAACATACATGTCTCAATTTCATAAAAAATCTTATTCTATTAAAACATCTTAAATGCCATATTTTGTAGACCTCTGAAGTGATTGAAGACCACCTGTCTATCTAAAATATATCTTTTTTGACCTTGAAAATGTACCTAATGTGACTAAAACTTTGATTGTAATAGATGACTAACTATTAGCTTGCATTTCTTTAATATCCTAAATAGTTTATAATAATAACTTTCAAGGACTAGAAATTACATTACATTCTTAAATGAGTTGTATAGGTACAATACCTTGAAAAACAGTAGAAACATATGCATAGTAGATTCTAACAAAATTAACATTAAATTTGTATTAATATACAAAAATATCTTAAACAAGAGTAGAAACATGAACAGTATAACAAAAATAACTTGAAATTGGTATCATATACAAAAATCCATACCAATGTAAAATATTTAAGACTAGCAATTATTTTTTGGTTTAAAAGTAGATTCAGTAATCTACCCTTTTATCCTACCAATTTTTTATATCCCCTTTTTCTTTTCAGAATAAGATCCTTGAATCTAATCTCTTTTGCTCAGCTTTTTTCCTGACCATTGCCAATAACAACTTGTAACCAACACCCCTAAACAGTGACAAATATCCTAACCCACTGAATGACCCAAAACCTACCACCATACCTCTTAGGAATATAGGCATTGTGTTGTTAAAATTACTTTCTGTTGTCTAGGGGCAATGGCATCTTTAGAGGACCCTGAGAAAATGTGATAATTGTCAAGTCCTGGGATAGCTAGCTGTATCATTTGTTGTCCGGTGTCTGTGTAATGGGAAAGTACAGGGCTTATCTCATGTCCTGGCTAGAGTAGTCTGTAAGGCTGGACCATCTCAGCTAGACACCTTGAAATTGTCCTGAGGAGTTTGTAGTCCAAAGCTGATCTTTCTGTGATGTTGCCTGCTTATCCAGGTGGAACTATTATTATGGGGCCCCATCCTCCTTTTGGAGACTTCCAAGGTCACTGTTAGGCATGGTCATGGTTCACTGCAGAAAACTTAAACCTTTTAAATGTCTTATGCAGCATATATCAAAGATGTTAAAGGACCATAATTTGTGATATACATTAAGAGTACAAAAACTTAATTCCTAGTTATGTGGTAGAGACTCAAACCCAATATCCTATACATTAAGACAGATGGAGTCTTTTTCTAGAATTAGTTAGTTCTCTATAGGACCATTATATAATATTGTGATAAA